TTTTTCCAAGAAAGATTTCTATGCAGATAAAACTTACTTAGAAGCATGGATTTGTTTCCCAGTGCTATGTTTTATGCATGAACACGCTCAATGGTTCTCTCATACTCAAAGGAAAGTCAATTCAGCTTTCTTAGAAGTCTAATCTGAATGGGGGGGGCAGTATTTTTATGAATATTACAATATGAATATGTATACCAGTCTCTTGGTATTCTTGACTCAGAGATGAATATGCATGAACACGCTCAATGGTTCTCTCATACTCAAAGGAAAGTCAATTCAGCTTTCTTAGAAGTCTAATCTGAATGGGGGGGCAGTATTTTTATGAATATTACAATATGAATATGTATACCAGTCTCTTGGTATTCTTGACTCAGAGATGAAGACAGTCATCCAAAACAGTAGCAGGGAATGGAATTGCCAGACCCAAAGCACATTCCAAAATACTGAGAGGTAGTACTGTAGTCCTACTATGGTTAAAATGCTCCAAAAAATAGGGAATATTCTCACAGAGTTTAGCTGAGCTGCATTGTAGGGAGTGGTGGGAAGAAGCCTCTCTACTTTCCTCAGTATCACCTTTGTGAGTTCACAATAAAAGAACAACCGATGCTCTTGTCTTGTGGCAGTTTAAAGCAGGATTTAACCTTTAGGTGTTTTGCACCACAGATCCCATAAATTCTAGCTGACCTAGCAAATGGTCAGGAATTCTGGGAACTATAATAGAAACCCCTGAAAGTCAGGGTCCAATGCCTGTCACCTCCAGTGAATCGGTTGTGTCTAATACAAGGGCTAGGCACCACAAGTGGATTTTAGATTTTTTTGTTTGTTTGTTTGTTTGTTCACCCAAGGATCCCTTTCTGTACTGAATTTGCTTATGAAGAAAGCCAGGTGTGTCTCCTTCACAATCCCCGTACAGTATTTAAATCCGCGGAGAAAACCACCTGCCCGCGACAGCTTCACTCTGCCCTACAGCAGAAAGGCCTTTGCAAGGTTGGTCCTGACTCCCTTAACTAATATGGCGTCTCTTGCTTCACTTCCCCATGCGAGCCTATTCCTTGAACGGCGGTGGTGTTCCTTTCATAAACTCCCTCTTACCCGGCAAACAGCCTCAAAACGTTCCGCACTGTAACTTCCGGCAGGGCAAGCGAGCACGTAGGAAATGCACCATAGAGGTACCGTAGGTTAGACCGACTCTTTTCTTACGTCCTTATTGGGGAGATTCACGGCTGATTAGGCTTCCAACGTCTTTATCAGTCTCCAAGCCATTGGCTTATAAAACCTCAAAAAGTCACCAGGAGTCGAGCTCACTAAAGGCGAACAATTTACTTCTGACACACGTTTTCATCTCTCTTCCTCTAGTTCTGAGAAAACGAAATTATACTTCAAAATTGTTCTAACCGGAAGTTTAAGATATGTCCCAGTACAGAACTCTATGATGAAACTCATCTAACCTCTCTCCCCCTCTTCCATCGATGATTGCGTTTTAACGCCGGAAGGGCGGCTGCCTTCCGTTACTGCGCAGGCGCCAAGAGCCCCGTGCCTTTCCGGAAACCCGGAAGTAGGAGGAAGAGGGTCTGTGAGTGTGTGAGGAGTGAGCTGGGTAGTTGAAGTCCAGCGTGAGGCGGGGGCACCGCCCTGCAGGGACGGGCAGTGGGGGACGGGACCGACTCTTACATTCCCCAGGACCGTCTGGTTGTAGAAGCACCTCTCTGCATGGGCCCCTCCTATTGGCTATGGTCTATCCTATGGGCTCCCTTCTTCTTAGCTGTCGATACAGCCTCACCCGCCCTTCCCTTTTCAGGTCTTCCCCCCCTCCTCACGTCGTCTCCCTCACGCGCCCTTGGTCCTCTCCCGCGTCTAGTCCAGTCTGGAGGAGTGGGGGGAGCTGCTACTGCTTTCCCACACTTTCCCGGATTTGGCGCTGATGGAGTGGACGCCTTTGTCCACTTAGGACTGTGAGGGTTGGGCTCAGAGAAGGTCACCCAGAGAGCCTCGTGGCCCACCTGGTCTTAAATTCCTGCTCAGCGATTTAATTCAACGTGGTTAATTGGCTTTCTGAGTTTGCGTGACACTTTGATATGGTCTGGGTGCTCACCATATACTGGGCTAAAATATGGAGGTAGCTCTTTCAGTGTGTATTTTGAAAACAACAAATGAATGAGCTTAACAGTCTACCTTGGTTTAAGTTAGCTTATAGGTCTTGTTGGGTTAATGGAGATACATGGGACATACATACATGCATTTCTGAGCTATGTAGAGAAAAGGTGGAACTGAATAATTTCTATACGTGGGGAAAAGAGGGACGAATTTGGTAGGAGAGTGCATAATTTGCATACTGAAAATATCTGATGATAGAAAACACCCACTTTCTTAGGCCCTGGAGAATTACTGCTAGTAGGAAAAGATCATTGGTAAGATAGGTGGACAAACTGACTTAGTATAAAAACACTTTCCTGATATTCTTTAAATCTAAACCTTGCTTTATCTAGTTCTCCAAAGTCTCTAGATATTGGGGTTCCGGCTCATGGAATTAATTATAAGTTAGCATCTTCAGTGGCCATGCTGGGTCGAATGCTGGGAGAATTCAGCATATCTGGAGAACACGAGTTTGAGGAAAGTTATAACAAGGATTGGATCTGGAATCCAGTACATTTAAATCATATACTTCCTTAGGATCTGCTGACACTTCTTTTAGACTAGGAATGCTTAAAATGGAACATAGGAGCTTGTATATACAAACTGCTGTGGCATTTACACTACAAAGGCTGCTTAGGTCTTACCTGCTGAAATGAGCAACTAGGTTGTGGTTGCAATGCGGTAGGAGCTTGCTAGATATAAGCTCTTTGAAGTTAACGTGCTCACCTATGAGTGAACACTCCTAGAATCATCCCTTTTTAAAATTTGAATTGGCGTGAGCCACTTCTCACAGCTGATTCACTTTATGCAGTAGTGATAGTTTCCCACATGTATGCAAGTTGCTGCTCTGAAGTGTGAAAGGAAGACTAAAGGAAGACCACCTGATCAGTGGTCACATACTAGGGAGATATCACTTCTACTTCTCTTGTTCACGTTTCATGATACATATTTTAAAATCAAATATTGGCATAAATAGGTAGCTGTGTATGATGCAGTTTAGACTTTTTCTGGGGTGGCTTCTATAACTTCAGCTTTTTGTGAAGCTTTTAACGTAATATTCCCTTAGTAGCATTTTTTCACCTTTTGTTGAACAACTTTTGTTTGGCTGAATCTTAGTTTTTAAAAGGTCTGTTGCATCATTGCATGTTGCCTAGAGTTGCTGCCGTGATTTAGGCAGCTTGTAAATTGAATAAATAATAAATAATGTGCTTTGCTGGCATGTTAATCCAGAACAAGATATTCCATTTTTTAAAAAAATATATTTTTCACAGAAAAACAATTGTCTTGCTTTTGTTGATCCGTGGCAGTTTTTTAACATGTTGAATACTTATTAATGCCAATATTGTCTCAGAGTACAAAAGTGCCATAGTTTCTATTCAGATCTTACAATCTTTGTTTTGATAATAAACAGGGCTGGATTAGAAATGAATAGCCTTTACTCCTTATATTGTGTGCTGTCCTAAGTGTAAACCCAGCATCATAGTTTGTATTACAGGCTTAGATAATATGAAGTCAAGCATTACATATGATCTGAATTGCTTAGTATGTCAAGAAGTGAGTCAGAATCAGTCTAATCCCATATACTCTTTTAAAATGTATTTTTGAGCATTCTTGGTTCAAACCAGAACTTTCTGAAAATACCAAATTTATGTTCATGTTTTTCAGAGCGTATCCCAGAAACAAAAATGTGGTGGTGCCATCAAGTTTTTTACCTTTCCTAAATGAATTATCTTCATCCTTACTGATGAAAAAGCAGCTAATATAAAATTGAAGTTATTTGCTGAAGAATTGCTTTTTGTAGAAGGATTGCAGAGTGGGCGAACTGCAGTACATATTGGCTGTTCCATGTTTGAGGAGCAACTTGGGGAAAAAAGGCACAGTAAGGTATGAGCAGAAGGTCAAGACAGAACTGAGGATGTCTGAACTTTTGTAGATGGAGGAAATGAGAAAATGGATGTCAGAGGAACATATAGACCAGTCTTAAAGTTTAAACATCTTAAAGTTATCAAGGTTGAGAAACACTGTGTTCACATATTATAATGAGCCAAAAATCTTGGTTTATGATGCACTACACACTACAGTATTTGGCTTACTACTACCATTTTCTGTTTACAGAATCTGGAATTTAAACTTGAAATCAGCCTTGCTTGGAATTTACAGTTTCTGTAAACAAAAAACACCAGCTGTGCCACATTTGGATGATGTGTTAAGCTTAAGTCTTGAATAAAGACTCTGTATGATGAGGGGTAAAATGATGGTAAATGGTAAAGCCATGGAAGCAGCTTAAGTATTTGGAGGCTGGGACTGTTATTCTTCTGTCAGTTTTGGAGGTATTTTTGTTTCTGTTTATTAAAAAAATCCCTTCTCACCCTTATGGGTGGTATGTGTCTTCCTCACTCTTGGGTCCTCTACCAGAGGCCTGAGAGTTTGAGGGTTCTGTGCAGGATCTTAGCTGTTTCTAGCATAGTACTCTTCTGGACAGAGAGCTCTGATGTTGTCTCTGGGATCTGTTGGAGCCACTCTCTCAGCTTAGGAATTACAGCCCCAAGTGTTCCTGCCACCACTGGGACCACTTCGGCTTTTACTTTCCACATCCTCTCTAGTTCCTCCTTCAGGCCCTGGTACTTCTCCAGCTTCTCATACTCCT